TGTAACTAGTGTGTACGCAAAAAAATTAAAGAATTTATATACAATAATAATAATAACTAATAATTCAACAATCATGTACCAATAAGGTACAAGGAAATGGTGCCACTTACACAGTTATTATTTTTACTGTATGTAGCTATAAAGAACACGAGGGAAGGACTTGCCATCCCATTAATATATTCTAAAACACAAACTAAATTCTACAAAATTAATATAAGCATGTATCTGTACTATCTCACTTATCTGTACCACTAGGTTATTATACTGAACCATTATTTGAGATAATCGTTTCCTACGAGTATACACAACATCTGGCAGTTAGCAATCCAATGCGTCACGACCTCATAAAATGGACAATAAATCCGACAAAATTACGTTTTCCATCGCCCTGAAATTTCACCGTCGTATCAACAACAGTTTTTATTACATAAACTGTTTTGTCCGCTAATTTCCAGTAGTTACAATTTTCAACTTGTGTTATGCTTGTGTTGAACTTTTTTGTTATTGTCAAAACGTTAGGTGTCTACATCGGTTTCGTAATTCATAATCGCGTATATGACATAATCAAGAAGTTAGAAAAGCTGTTGTACCGTTAATCCGGTAAGTCCAAAATCATACTAAAAACATAATTTCATGAAGAACTCCAGTAATCAAATACCATAGCCAGAATCTAGCCAATAATCGATTATATTAGTTATTGCTATCGGTAAAGTACTTTTTCCGTTAGACTTTTTTAACGCTGTGTGCGTTGCCCCACACTAGGGAAATCCTTTGTCGCGAGTGTCATGGTCACATACATAGACAACCACAAATTACACATATAGTCACAAGAGAAATAAATGTATACCATACTATATTTCTCCCGGGAATCGAACATGGAACCTCTGATTAGCATGGTAACCGTTCAGCCACCGAGGCAGTTAATTAATTAGATAGAATATTCTATTCTTCTATAATAAAAGATCAAATTTTCTACTTTCTCCTATTTTGTAGTCACCAAGTTTGCTTTGGCTTTAGGTCACTTTATTGTTTTCGAATTAACGCGACATTATATTTTAGTAAAAAGAAATCCTTATGTTTGTATCTAATGTCCTACTTTATCATAATCCTTCAATGGATACAAATTTTACGCGACATTGTTATTTTGAAGGGCCGAAATAAGTATGACTTTGTGGCGTGATGGATCACACATCTATTGTTGTTGGTACAGTCACATACATAAGATACCTGAAGGTCTACTCTCAAAATATACAACCGCAGCTGCGTACGAAATCAAAACGATCCGTGAGCCGCCCGCAGTTCGTTAGCCACAACGCTTTCGTTTTGGGCTTCGGATCCCATAGACAATAAGGGACCGATATAACGTGAATGGTGAAATAGGTTCTTTTTCATGCTTATACAAAAATTTTACTGAACAAATGACGGATTTCTTCAGTGTTGTACCCATTGACCTACCAGTTGTACCATAATCTAACGAAAAATCATTATCGACTTGCAAACGTTTAATTAAAGTCGACCAATATTCCATTTAGAAATATTTTACTTCTTATGGGAATATCCGGGAATGTCATGTGAGAATTTATTAGTTTGCATTTATATATGCTCAAATATTACAAAAAGTGAATTTGTGCAGGAAAAAATGTAATTTGAAAGTATATTAAAAAAGTGAACATTTTATAATATTAATCTGACTAATGCATTTCCAACCTCAAGATTGATATTAGAAAGAAGTTTTTCAAAGGTTTCCAAATAGTGGAAGCTTTTTGTATTTATGCATTGGTATAGAATTAATATCAGTGCGTGGTTTAAGTGAATCTTTAACACTTAAATTTTTGTCGGTACTCTTTTAGACGAGTGAAATTGCATGATGTTAGTTTTTGTTAGTTTTATACTGACACCATTTCCATTCATCCATCCTATGATGTTACTTATAGTTTTATTAATGTCACCTTCGTATTGCTCTTTGTCTTCACATTTTATAACAGCAGTGCTACCGTCTGCAAATAATACCATATGTTTACTAATATATCTTGGAAGATCGTTTATGTATATGCCTCTATTATTCTTCCTGTAGGCGAATTTACCACTTCTGTTTCTTAAGCTTCTACCACTTTGCGTACGACACAAATTAAGACATGCTTACGAATGAACATCATGTGCAATTTAACAAACAAATCACATATATTGTGGTGGTGGTGGTGGGTCAATAAACCTACAATATTTTTGAATACCCTGCGTGTTACATCTTCAAAAAGATTATACAAAATTCTCGCAGCGAGCCAGTAATCGCTTACAACTTTGCCATGAGTAAGGGATACCAAGAAACTGCGATTCCTTTGACGTCGTCTCTCTACTTCATCTTCACGTATTTCTTAACAGTATTCACGATTTTTTTACACAAACGATTTACAAACGATACCGCTCGAGCTACCGTTGGGTTTATGTCAATTCCAATTGTATATAAAATAATATATTCTAATTCTAATGTTAAAATACGACACGGAAGCTCTCATTTGGCGTTCCGGACTAAGGTATCCGCAACTACTTGTGTCAAATCACGATCTTTGACTAGCCTTGTACTTCCGGGTCCGATTCATATTTCGTATGACGTGTTGAGGTTATGATGTCCGATACACGTTGTCAAAATCCTGACAAAATGGCTTTTCGTAGTAGCTTTATCAACGTCTGATGTCGGACACCCATATAAATCACGCGTTTCATTCCGCAATTGTTCCGCAATCGGGCACATAACGCGTTTCATAGTAAGAAATTATTAAAACGAAGGACGTACGCAGCTACGTGTATCGGATTTTACTTTTAAGTAGATGCTCTGACCCCCTAACATGCCCAAACGGAACTTTTGGTACTGACAGCCATTTTACTTATTGAACAAAGAAAAAATAAACCGTCGTGTAAGCAATACCGTGGAGTGTTGCTTGAAGATGATTAACATATCTTTAAAACCAATAGTAAATTTCGTCGTTTAACTTCCAAGTAAATTGGTCGAGCGGCTTGTTGTGTCGACTGCCAGTTCGATTCCACGAGCACTGTTTTAATTCAACAATATATTTTGAACAGCATTGTTTCACTTTTTAAAGTTAACGTTGACAAATCACAATATTTGCTGACTAGAAATTGCCTAAGGTAGATATTATTAATAAAGCGTAGGGTGGGTATGGTTAGATTAACAAATCACGAAATCACTCTGCAGTTTGCATACGTACGTATCTTCTGTGATTACGCATTGTTCCGCGTTTCGTTTCTATTTGTCTATTCAGTTTTAATTACTTTCAAGGTTTTAGTGACATTAAAACTTTTCTCTCTTGTTTTAATATGCCGCACTTACCGGAATTATTCAAATTAGAAATTATTGCTCTGTATGAACAGGACTTAGACATTCATTAACCTTCATTAACAACCTATCCAGACGTTAAAAAAAAAACAAAATACAATATTATATAGTCATAGCTAAATAATATTTTATTTTTAATGTGACTCGAACCATGCTTGCCTCAATTTGCAAAGCAATCCTTATACCGCTTGGTCACGACGGCCTTACTAAAGCTGGTTGAAATTTGTGTTCTGTATTTAAGTAAGAACCATACGTTAAACATCAATTAATCGGCTTAAAAACTTTCTCAAAATGTCATTCACTAATGAGACGACCAGGGAGTGTGAGTGAGACGACAAGTCGGCTTGGGGGGTCAGGTATCTTGTGTATGTGACTGTACCTTTAATAGACGCAACTTCCACATTTTTGTTTCTTTTTGACAATCAAAAATAATTTAAAAAAGACAAGAATAGTTTAGGTTATCTGTGGTGCAAGCGCAGTGTTTGTACTTGAGGTGGTGTGTGACCGGAGCAGACACAGCGATATTATTACATTAAATACTTATTGTGTACATTAGTACAAACAGCAGCGCCTGTGTATAAACAGCCACATACTAAAACTCTTGTCAATCCATGTTCGCTGTGGAAACTAATGACACCGTGCGTCATTAGTTCTCACATCTATAGGTCTATAGATATCTGTCTACCTCTCTCACATCTATATATGACACATTTGCGCTATGTCGCTGATAAACTTCTTCACTTTGCATTACACCGAATCTAGAATGATACTGGCAAATCAAATCAAGTAGAGGCATCGTTTCGGATTGAGGGATATGAAATGTGTCCTTCACACCTTCGGTACCATTAGGCCACCGCTTGAGTACTGATGGCCGTCCACAGCAGCCATCGTCGGCTGCGTACGGATACGCAAGTTAGCAAGAATTCGTTGCCTGCGTCCAACCGCGTCGTACGAGCCGATGCAAAACAGAAAATGTCTTTTTGCTTCATTCTGACTCTATCAATGACTCAATCTATTCTATCAACACTGATTACCGAAGTTAAGATGAACAATCAATATGCTATGAACTAATCGCAATACCTAAGATATTTAAGACGTTCAACAGCTTAAGGGTTGGTTGAATTGACGAGGTTACCATCATTCCAGTGGGAGATACACTATGTAATCAGATTCATAACGCTTTGACATAAAATCTATTAAAGACATTTCCTCTTTGTTGGTTTCGTGACTTATAGGTAATTTATAATAACTATCACGTAGTTAGTAGCAGTAGAACTTCTTGTGAAAGAGTTCGTCCAGGGTAGTACTGCCCCACCGTACCTATTTTTGCCGCCTAGTAATAATGTCAGCGTTACTGCGTTCCAGTTTTGAAGGGTAAGGGTGCTGGTGAAATTACAGGCACATAGGAGTTGTCAACTTATATCTCAGGGTGACGAGCGCAGTAGCAGTGCCCCTCAGATCTTTGCGATTAAAAGCTCTGAGTGGTACTGCAACTATTATGAACAGGCGTGTCACTTACCACCAGGCCCACGACTTGTTCATCCCGTCATTGGTACTAAAGAAAACAGTCTAAGACTGGGAGTAGCGAATCCAGTGACCAAAAGAAATATCTAACTAGTGATTTTCGTCTTCCTAGAAACAGAGCGGGATGCCGTCCAGCTTCTATGATCTTCTCACGCACAACGCGAGCGCACCGCACGGGGTTTATTCACCCGTCACGCTCAGCCATGAATGGCCCAAGCTTGACAGACTACTCTTCATGGTCTGCTGCTCGGTCATCAGCTCCATTATGAACGGCTACTTCGTAGCTTCCTTTTTTGTTGAACACACGCTGAAACGCCTGGGTGAGTAGCAAGATTAACTTTCCTTCTAAATTAGCTAAACATGTCATATAACTGGTTTACTTTATGAACCTTTGTAAGTCTGACCGTCGGCTGGCCTAATCCGCTTAATTTTGTTCAATACTGAAAAAGAAAATGTAGCTTGTCGGCATGGAAATACATTGATGTAGTTACGGATCAATTGATATAAGTAGAACGTCTTAGATTTTTGTTGAGCACGTTCCTAGTAATTTAATTAAGTCTAAGAGAGAAATATTATTTTGATATTTAACTCATACTCGTACTAGCTAATTAATTAAAATGACTTTGTAGAACATTCTAAAATAAACCAGCTCCTGAGTCAATATTATATCTTGTTTCGAAGGAAGAGCAAACTGCTTTGATTCTTTTGCTATCTATTTATATTTGAAAAACATTTCTTTAGTAATTTTCACATGGAAAGAATTAATTTGTTAATGCAATGTTTAAAATGGATTGAACGTCACATTTCAAAGAGATATAGAATATATATTGAAAACTAAAATTTTTCGTTAATTTTGTGCAGGAAATGCATTCTTGGCGTGTGTTGGCGTGGCCGACATGTTAATCACCACTGGGGTCATGCCAATGTCCGCTGTAGTCCTGCTTTCCGGGGAATGGGACCTACTCCCTGTATGCCAATCGTTACATTTCCTCACCGAGGCATCCACCTATAGCTACAGTATATTCTTCGCGGTAAGTGTAGTTTAGGTTGTTGGTAACTGTTTGATAATAATTTATTAGAAATAAGTAAATATTTACTTAGGTGGTGCCGAATTCAACTCTTACCATTTATTGTGTTGCAGTGGCGCTATGAGCGAAATTTAAAGCTACGCGATTTTAAATTTTATGTTATAGTATTTAATTACGCATTAATGTGTTCTTCACAAATAGTCTTACGAAGGACAAAGGCCCAATATTTTCTTTTGTCTCTAGCTGGCGGCAGGCGAATGCTACTACCGGGTTTGCGGTACTTCATCGGAATACGACATGATCTTTTCGATGCGCATAGGATGTTTATCGATCATCGTGTTTTGCGTCAGCGTCGTGGTCGCAGGCGTTGGCGTCTTTATGGACCTCGACTACGACTACTGTGAACGCAAGCACTTCGGCAACTTCTACTTTAGAATAATCACATTCGTGATCCTCCACGTAATACCCATGCTCCTCACTATATTTGGTTTTGTCACATCCTTGACCACAATACGTAAGAAGTCGCGTGATCAGACGCAGTACAAACGATCACAGCAATTCGACAGGGATTATTCGGCCGCCAGCCTAAACCTAGTAGCATATTTGTTATATATTCTGGCCTGGATACCGTACCTCATCATTGTGCTTGAATTTCCATCCACTAGTGATAGCAAGTTTTACTATTCTGCTTGGATTGGAATCTCTCGATCGGCAATAACGAGCTTCTTATACTGCGCCGCTAATAGAAACTACAGACGAGCTTTCGCTCACTTGTTCAATTACTGCTGCTGCAAAAGTAGTCTGTCAAGCTCATTTGGAGGTCGTCATAGAAGAGACTACTACAGGCCGTCATGCGATGTCAGGGTCCACATCATGCACAAAGCCGTCAACTCCCACAGCCCACAACGACATCGTGCTGCTTCCACTTGTCGCGAGACTCAAGACTTGTAAACTGACTGAGCTGTTCTTTCGTTTCTTATTAAGTAGGTACATGTTTAAGTTTAATATATTTTTAATTTAATCTGAATGTTAATAAAAGTTTCAAAATATCTTATATCATTGTGATAGATATATTTGTTTGTTCAAGCTAAGAATTTTATCGAATCTAATTTCAGAGCCGTTTTACTCTTTTGTGACGTTCTTTTCATCATAGTATTTTAAATACTGGAGTATTACACTCGACCTATCTTGTAAGGATGATGTTGATTATTTTTATAATATTTATGTTACAATATTTTGACTACCTATATCGACACTGGAAAGGCAAAAGGCTAAAAGATCAATTTTTGCAAATTTTCTTATATTGTTAAAGTCAGCGATTCTTTTCGCGTTTTTGAGATAGATTTGATCTGAGAACTTTTTTGGTCTTTTAGACATTTTGCAAAAGGCATTTTATACAAAAATAGAGGGTCTAGTATCATGGCTTGTTTGTCTTTTTACCTGATCCTGAAAAAAGCTTCAGTGCACGTCCTTTTTCTTAACTCTAATTTACTTAAAACTGTGTGTTAGCTAGCAAGTTTTAAAGACGTACCATTTATACGAATAGTCAGGAAAATAAAGTGAACATTTTATTATGAATTCATTTTACCTCACTTATTATTTCAATAGCAAAATTATTGACGTTAGTGAACTTAAAATGAGATACCTACTTTATTGGGCTTTACTTGGCTGAGGCTTGGCATCGTTGAGTTACATTCGCGCCAAAACTTTTCGAACGTGTGCCTTTATTGAGTAAGTTAATTACCAACCATACTCGTAATAATCAGTGCGTTGCGATGCACGGACGTGCTCCACTACTTAGTAAGAATTATAATAATCCACGCCCCGTGCGGCATTAGCAACTGCGCGTAATTGAGTGTGGGTTCCCAGCAGTTCATAGCCAATAAACGGCTCGCGTTCATCCAACACGCCGTCGCCACTATGGACAAGGTCAAAAACTTAGTCGCCTTTCTTTACCACCTCTGCTGCGGCCGGACTGCTCGCTAGCCCATTCTGTGGACGATACCGCGAATTTCTTTGCCTTACTCTTTGCAGAGAATTCACAGCCGGTACTGCGGCAAACCTATCACCTAACATACCGTAGGCAGGCGCGTCAAAAACGAATTCAGGAACAGGTACGGGGGTATTGTCAGAAGACCTCAATATCAGGATATCAACACCGCTTGGTGACTATAACATGGTGTTCCAGGTTGAATGTGTGGGTATCAACTTGGCAGCAGAAGCAATCATAACGAAGAGTAAAGAATCAAATGGTAACGCCACAACAAATCGCGATGAAAGTAGTCGTCGACAGCGCAAGAGGGTAGACAGATATGTCTGCTCTTAAAGCTGTCATCTGCCGCCGTCCAGTCAACCCGTGACCATGGAGCGTGCAACCGTTCCGAAATATCGGGAAAATAAAAAGAAGTCATACCGTGGTAAGAAACCTGATACTAGTGATAATCATTTAGTAAAGAATCACTCCATTCGAATACTTTCCGACGCATGTCAATGCTTCAAGCACTGAATAGCTATGACATAAACTCAGAGCATAATTATGAATGTCGTCAAGCATTCATGGAGGAATGTACGCACAACTACGTAACTCTACAGTGGATGAAGGATACAGAGGTTCACGCGGCAATGACACAGTAGATGGTCTAACTAAAGGGTCGGAGACGGACGCTGTATGACCATAACCCATAGAGTGCCTCCGTTACCAATAGATCATAAATACAAAAGCTTCCTATAATAACCCATGGATAACCTTACCATTTGTAGACAGGCTGTGGAAACACGCTCAACGCCATGCTCAAAAGGCAAGAACTTCGCGCTCTAACTTCCGTCCTAACGGGTTATGGTCCATGTCAAAAAAACCATATTCAATTTGGGTATCACAGACAGTCATCTCTATACAGAGTGCGAATGGGGACTTCTTCACTGCTCTATTTACTAATTGCTCTACTTCACTGCTCCGGCGTGGCCAAATACAGGCCAAAGTACCTTGGAGTGCCAAGGTCGCTGCCCGAAGTCTTCAACAGACCCAAGAGGATGCTAGTATTCCTGGAGGAGCTTGGATGACACGAGTTGGACCCTGCACCAGACATAAGCAAAATAGGCGCCTTGACGTCGAATTGCGAATACTAACCCATCACACCAGACCATAAGAATCTCAACCAGGCTGCACTATGGCGCTAGTTGGCATACGCCAAAAATCGGACTCAAAACTCTGCTGAGTTAAGACGTGAATAAAGCTGACGGGCCAGTTGGAATTCCAGTAATAGTACTGCGTAACTGTGCACCTGAGTTGTCTCTTGTTCTCACACGCTTGTATCGCCGCTCACTTGAAACTGATGTAGTTCCGAGAACGTGGAAGCTTGCACACGCGCATCCTGTGCCAAAAAAAGAAAGCAGATCTGATCCTGTCAACTATAGACGTATCTCAGTAACTTACATATTCTGCAAGACTATGGAACGTGTACTTAACAACCGTCTTCTATCATATCTTGAAGACAACGACCTCCTGACTGATCTCCAGTACGGATTCCGACGAGTGCGTTCTATACGAGTGAGCCCTTTCACTTCTTCTCACATATGAAGCGAGGCTATATAAAAGCAGGCGCAGCCCTTTCAGTGTCTTTGGACATTTCTAAAGCCTTTGACGGGTCTTGTATACAAGCCTTTTAAACAAGCTTCCCTCCAATGAGCTTCCCACTGACATTTGCAATTGGATCACGGATTTCTTGCGCGAGCGTTCGATTCGAATCGTTTTAGAAGGCTGGCTAATCTTTCGAACACCAGGTGATAGAGTTCCGGAGGTTTTCAGGGTTTCGTACTGCCCGCAACTCTCTTTCTGCTGCATATCAACGGTATATTAATACCAGGTACCTTCGGGTACGCTGATGACAGTACTGTTGTAGATAGATACTTGACAAATGCAAGGGCCAATGGAGAAGAAACGCAATCTTGTCGTGAGACCACGATTACTTGTTTGAATTTAACACTTAAGGCAGTCCCCGATTGGGTCGATGTCAATCGTATCAAATTTAATGCTACCAAAACACAGGCGTGTCTGTTTGTTCTCCACAAAACGGAATTCGTTTGACCTGACTCCGACTTTTCGTAATATATCCAAAACGATAGCCGACCGTCTCCAATTACTTGGAATGGAAATTACGTCAAATTTGTACTTTGTGATACATTGAATCCATGGCCGAAATTATTTTTATGTACCAAGTAGCTGAACGTACAAGTCGTGCACCTGTTGGTAAGTGACACGCCTATCCATAACAGTTACAGTGCCATTTAGAGCTTTAAATCGCAAAGATCCTATGGGTACTGCCACTGCGCCCATCACCCTGAGACATAAGTTGATAAGTCCCATGTGCCTGTAATTTCACCAGCACCTTTATCCTTCTAAATCGGAACGCAGTAATGCTCACATTACGGCTTGGTGGTAGAAATAGGTAAGGTCTACAGAAGCTGTACAGCTACTACCAGAAAACTACTACTAGCTACTAGAAAAGCGAGAAATGCAACCAGAAAACTTGGTATCCTTTTCAAAGCGAGGCGTTACTTCACATCGGGACTTCATCCGGTTCTCAAAAGGGTAGTGCCTCGGGTGAGCTGCCCTCCCTATTTTCCAGACATGTACCGGAGCTGCAGGCACGCGCACTTCCCGTTGCGCATTGCGCAACTAACGGTTGCCACCGCTAAGCCTTTGACCCTAAAGTTCACTACCAAATCTCCTCTTTGGTGGCGGAGCTGAAGGCATGCTCAAGTTCCGACGCCGAAACGTCTTTCCAGTTTCAAGAAATGTACGTGACTGAAGAGACCGGCGGATACTAGTTCATTCTCTACTAGCTTTCCGGGCTAGTGCCGAGACCGGAGATGCCGGTCGCAGTGTCCTGCGATAATGTCCGGACATAGATTTCAACTTTAAGGGCATCTCCTTGCCTAAGACCCTCGTCTAGACCGCTACTAAGACGCGAGAGCTGCACACAAGACATGCGCCCCGGCCCCACACTACGCACCGGAGCAGACGCGAATACGAATATCCGTCTCTGCAGCTACCATAAGCCCCGGCGAGTCTATACCCAGAATCCGGGTCGGCTAGAGACGCTCGTGAAGGCGTATGATTGGAGAAGAGCTTGGCCCGGTCGTTTGCCATACCCTGGTCTTATCGGGGAGCCCGTAGTCTCTCCGGGACTACCTCACTCGAGTCAGAAGATAGGGACATATCTACTGACGTTTCTGCGTTGGAATTACACGATTTAATTCCGCCTTCCCCTTTCCATCGCCGGGGGACTAGACGTAGGCTTGGGTTCCACTCTAATGTTGTGGATATTCCAATGATTTGCACGAAACGTTACGAGTGATTTATAAGTTTTAATATATTTTTCGATGTCATTTTACTTTGTGTTGACTCTTTGTTCTATTGTACTTTCTTTTTTCTAAATAAATACTTTTTATCAGTATTTTATTTTGATATATCACTTGTTTTTTACTATTGAATTAACTAATAACCTTTTCACCTCAGTTGTTTTCTTTGTCATCTAGCGTGGAAAAGGTTTTTGAAATTCGAACTTGACGATGGTTTTCTTTCGATGAAGAAAAAAAAGATAATGACACATTCAACTACGCGAGTTGTTGTACATTACTTATTTGTGTAACATAAATCCGTTGGTATATTTTCTTCGTAATATTGTTGACATTAAAGTGACAATGATAACTAATTGTGAAACTGAAATCATTTCAATAATCATTTAATCACACGAAATTATAAGCAAGCAAGAATAAAAATTTATGAGGTTTATGAGAACGCAACCGAAGGTAAACGTTTTCTTTTGATTATTTGAACTGATGTTTTTCAATGCATATGTCTTTCTTTCATTTACAATTTTCCTGCTATAGTGAGGTGAAAAGTTGTGTGTTTCGCTCGGCAGCAAAGTTGTTTTGCGTCTCGTGCCTTGAAACCCTCTCGCTACGCTCAGGAATGCATTTTTAAACCTCTTGCGTCCCTCGTGGTTCAATCTTAGCTTCATCTTGCGTACCTATATGT